AATGCTTTACTCATTTTCTAGGCCAGCTGATTAGCCTCCAGATGTTTTTTTTTGTTTTCGTTTTAGCTTTTGTTTTGTTTGCTTTCATGCAGCAAGGTTGGAAATTCTAGGTCAGAACTTTAGAGGACCACTATCCCCACTTAGGCCCTGTGCCTGCAATTCAGCATTGCCACAGGAGGGCTGTGGCACTGATTACATGGGGCCATTAGGTTCTTACTGCCAGACTGAACAAATGAGAGAAAAACACGCCATCTCTGTAGAATTGGCAAGGTTACCCTTTTTCACCTCCAGCTCTGCTGCTCCTCACAAGAGTTACCAATTTATAAAAAGCAGGCTCCCTGGTTTTCCAATCAATTTTGATCTACTTCCTCTTTCTGATTAGGGTCTATGTAGAATTTTGGCCTTAAGCCAAATAAATTTTGGCTTTGTTGCTGGTGTAGACAATGAGTCAATCTCTCTGGAGCTCAGTAGAGGCAACAGGTCCCTTGTTTGATGGCCCATTTTCTTCCCACCAGGGCACACAATCTTCATGTCGCATCTGGGCAATAGCCATACTTCTTTGTTTCTACTTCTGAAAATGCTTTATTAAAGTAATACAAATTATATCACAAGCAGTTCCAGGCTTATGATATATTCAAGTTATGATGAATTGCATTTATGATCATCTTTTTTAAAAATTATTTTGTGTCTCTTATCATTAGTAATATGTAGTACATACAATGTGCAGTATGTAATTTGCTGATGTTATCATTCTGATGGCAACTCCCAAAGACCAATAACAATCGGATTTATAAAGATACTGATAGTAAAAGGCAATGATAATAAAACCTAAAAAGACAGGAAAAAAAAAAGAGAGATATTTGACTTATGTCAGAATTGACTTACATCAAAGTTGTCAGAATGGAAAACCATGGACTTAGGGGTAAATCAGGGACTACCTGTATTTGACAATATAAAGAAATTAAGAAACAAATTTTAGATAGATTTGAAGCAATGTAATGTTTAAATATTATTTCAAGCACTCCTTAATTGTTCTTGTTTCAGAAACATGTCTTGACTTTTGTCTTAAATGTCCTGAGTAGCCTTCTTTCTCCATTGATTTTTGCCTAGTTTATGAATATTTTTGAGTGCATCCATTTTTCTCAACTGATTGTTGATCTCGGTAGTGCTTTTAGTCTCTCAGTTATAACTTTTGATGAGAATAAAAGGCAGTTTTTTCTCCTTCCTTTGCTATTTAAGGTAGGAACTAAAAAGCAGGCCATGTTGATCTCTTCCCAAGCACAAAAGTGGGGCCAAAACATCGGAATGTGTCTGTTGATGTGCAAATATTTGGTAGAAGGTATTCCTTGACCTCTGAAGGTTTATCTCCTATTCCTGCTTTTATATAGTCTGTTTCTTATTTTAATGAAATATGCCTTATTTCTAGGAGCCCTGGTGGTGCAATGGCTAAGTGCTAGGCTACTAATAAAAAAATGGCAGTTTGAACACATGCTAATCTGGAGTAGAAAAGACTTGGCAATTTGCTCTGTTAAAGATTACAGCCTATGGGGGCAGTTGTGCTGTCATATAGTGTTCCTAAACCAAACCAAAACCAAACTCACTGCCATTGTCAATTCTGACTCATAGCAACCCCTCCTTGGGTGTCTGAGGCAATATCACTATGGAAGTAGAGTTGCCCAACCTTCCTTC